ACACCACGAAACAAACGATAGCGTAAAATGAAACGATAGACGTTTTTATATTGTCATCCGATATATATCCTTATATCAAACAGCCCTAAACATGTCTACTTCTAAAGTTGGACAGTTTAACATGACACTCTGTGGGTTTGACTCCCTTTTGAAGCCAGTTTCAAGTGACCACTTGAGGAACTGCAGTTTTTGGCACTTCTGTGCTTGGTTTTGATTTTTAGCCTTGCAAATTGACACTTGGATAATCTCCATGGAACTCCATGCTCTCCATTGTTAATTTCCCATTTACAACAAGTGTACTGGGGTAAAAGGTTTTTACAACTCACAGGTTTGGATTGTATTCAAGTTTTAAGCGATGTATTATTGGATGGATGCTTTGGATGACATGTGGGTATCGCTATAGCTGTGATAACCACTAACTCTACTGTGTTCACCTTTTGTTTAAGAAACATTCTAAATGAACATAATGTCTCATTCTAGGTTACTACATGGCTGTAGTTATTTTAGTGCTTGACTGAGGTTTTGGTTATTTATTTTGTCACGTCTCTGGGCACATGAAGGCAAAAGTGTGCTTGAGTGACAGGATACTTGTGTTTTTTTTTCTTCTGGCTCACATCTATATTCTGTCTCTTTCTCTATAGCAGCGAAAGGCTACTGCTGTTTCATCTAATGACGAGACTACAGAACAAGACGTTAGTGCTTATGTGTTTGTTAAAATTGTTTAAATGTTTGTATAAAATAAATATCTGATTTGTAAAAGTAATCCCATAAAACACGTCATTCTATATTTCTCTTTAAATCCAGAGAGACTTTAACACCACCCACAAGGATGTAGAGATTAAACATTCCTACTCATCTGATACTGAAGCAACAGATGAAGAGAATATGGTGTGTTAGCTACCATACAGTATTAAAATTATCACATGGAGACGTTTGTAGCTCATCATTTCCTGTCTTCTAGGCTGGACCGTCAGATATCAGAGGAGGAAGTTCAGACCATAAAATGGTAAAGTTCCTTCAGTTTAAGCATTGTTTGGAAAGAGAAGAACCCCTCATTCTGTTTACCTTTTAAAATCTAGAGAGACACTGAATGGACATAGTCCGCATAGGAAAAACCATCTCATTATTATTAATATGCCTGATCTAGATTTGACTGCAGTTACATTCAAGCTGACCTCTCTAGTCCTTTTAGGGAGGGATCAAAAAATAGCAGATAGTGTAGATTGCACCTTTACATAGGTGATGTTGCAGAACTTCATATATGATCACCAGCCACTTTGTGAACCACCCTAATTCATTATAGAATGTAATAACATCACACAGTTGCTGCAAATCTGTTGGCTGCACATCCACAATCCAAAACTCCTATCTCATCAGATTCCACCAAAGTGCTTTATTGAATTGAAATTTGGGGCAGTTAGCATCTTCATTCTGTTTTCTTGTTAAAATCCTCAATAGGTTATTATGAAAGAAAACACCATCTGTAGTGATGGCAACACAGATTCCTACTCATCTGATGAAGATGAAGAGCCTATGGTATGTGAAGCAACAATAAGTAACGATAAGTAGGTTTATTAACGATATCAAAATGATGACATCAAGATGCTCCTCAGCCAATCCTTTTCTGACTCTTAGGCCAGTCATCTGTCAGCTGGAATAGCAGAGAGCAGAGGAGGAGATCCGGACCATGAAATGGTAAATATGCACATGCAGAAATAATTACTGTGTATCCACCCATATGTACATACACCCATACGGGTGTAATATGATGTGATATGGGAAACAGTTTTTTGTACCAGACTGTAAATATGATAATTTCTGGACATTTTGCCAGAAATCTGTGGGGATTGACTCTATTCTGGTGTGTGTGTGTGGGGGGGGGGGTTAAACCCAGTCTCAAGTGGCCACTTTTTTCCACTTCTTCATTTGGTTTGGTTTTTGTTCCTGGAGCTTTCTCTTTTTGACACAAAGGACCAGAGGTTCTATTCCAAGCTCCTCATCCTATCTCTGAGGCTTAGGTCAGCCACCCTATGAAGGAAAATCATTTTGGCCACTTGTATTCGCAACCTTTCCTTACCTTTTCACCAGTCCAGCAGTCGAATCCATTTTCTACCTTCTGATCAGTTGTGAATAAGATCCCAAGTTTCTTGAATACCCTCACCTTTAGCAATCTTTCCCCCAACCAAAAGGCAGAATTCTAACATTTTCCAGCAGAGAGTCATGGCCTTAGATTTAGAGTCCTAAATTTCATCTTGGACATTTCAGACTCAGCTACAGGCTGCTGCAATGCATGTTGAAGGTCATGCTCCATGAAGCTAACAGAACCACCTCAACTGCAAGAAATGTGGATTATATTCTTAAGTTCTCAAAGGGGA